TCCTTTAGCTCCATCAGCAACTATTCTGACCGGGTTTCCTGGACTGCGGGGCGTTGGAGCTTGCTGTACCCTCCCTGCTCCATAAGATCCCAGTCCTAATCTTTAAATATAAAGTTACTCTACAATATAAGCTTGTTTCTCCAGTCACTTCTTCACACCCTGACATACACAGATGTCATTTCTGCAATATGATGAAATAACAGATTTTTGCAACCTGGGATCTCACTTTTTGTACTGGGGATTCGTGGAAAGGGCCAAGCAATTTACCTTCTCCCCCCCCACCAGCCCCATCATCACAGTTGTATTTGGTTGACATCCCAAAGATGAATCCAAAACGATTCCAGTCCAGAAGCCAAAGAGCCCTCTCACAAGAAATCATTTCGAAATCCTGTACATCTTTTCTTTCAGTCAAAATCCTGAGATAAATATATCCCTTGGAAGAATAATTCATACTGTGGTACCTATTTAACTGGGAGGGAGGGTGAAAGAAACAAAAAAGAACAAGAAGGCTTAAAAATTACATTTTACATTTAAGAACAAGTCTGTTTCATTTGTTTAAAGACTATTTTTCTCCAACCCTTCTCTCCCCATTATAGGAATAGTAATTCCTTGAAATGCTTGAAATGAGTGCTTAAAAATAAAGTTGAGGTTTTATTTCTGTATTTTCTTTTCGTGTCTGCTGAGTGGAAGAAACGCTTTTTAAAAATGTTTGATTATTGCTCTCCATAAATTTTCCCAGTAACAGAACAAAACAGAGGTCGGCTTCTTCCTTTTCCAATATTTTCCCAGATTTATAGCGCAATCTTTGGGATCTTTACTGAGAACTCAGCTCCACTGTTTCCTTAATAACTAAGCGGCAAAGTTTCCAAGGCTTACCTGTGAACTGCAGTCCTACACCACTGAAGTTAATAGGCTTTATCTCTGAATAGATATGGACAGGATTTCTCCGTAAGCTTTCTCAAAAATTATTTCCCACCACTAATATGTACAGTATTTACAACCAATTCTCAAATACATAGGATTTGCTGGCATTTTAAAAAAAGGTCTACATGACTGGCATCTCCGAATGCATTTGTTAATCTGCAAATGCTTACCTACCAAGATGCGCTTAGTGTTCGCTTCTCTCTCATTCTCTCTCTCTCTCTCTCTCTCTCTCTCTCTCTCTCTCTCTTTCTCTCTCTCTCTCTCTCTCTCTCTGTGTGTGTGTGTGTGAGAGAGAGAGAGAGACAGAGAGAGAGAGAGAGGAGAGGGAATCAAGATAAGATAGCTGAGTTGTCCTGGAAGTTAACATTTTAACCAATGTGCAGGGCAATTTAGTGTTTGATATCCTACGAAGTGCCATCTCTGGAGCAAGAATCAGTCATCGGCATTAAATCATTGGTATACTGTACTTGGGGCCCCTGATGAAAGGCAAATATTTCTATTATAGGGGATGGGGGAGAGAAAAAAAACCACGAGAGAAAGTGAGAATATAATTTACAAATACCCAGCGGAGGAAAGATTTATTAGGAAATCTTCCCCCAAAATACATCACTTGGTAAATTGTAAGTTCTCATTGTTTTATAGCTCCGTGAGTGGATTTTAAAAAAAGAGGGTTTTTTCTATTAATTAGCACAAAGTACATCTGGTTAAAAGATTGCAGCTTTTATGTATTTTAGAGTTGCTGAACTTTGCCTGGAATTGCTGTAGAAAAGAGATGATGGGACTCTCCGTTTTCTTGTTTTCTGGCTACACGCATTCAATATCTCTCCCCCCCCCCCCCC